GCGGCTGTGAAATCTCTGTCGACTGATTTTTCAACCAAAATGTCGAGTGCAACTCCATCGAGTTAAAATCCACCAAATAAAATTTATCACACCCTTTTTCGTGACTGAATCTCGGCTCTGGGAGAATATTCCACTCCCAGGTTCGTTGAGGGCACCACTGACAAGTATTGAGCCTTCGTCCTCCAAGTAAAATTTCCTAAAAATTTTTAATCATTTGTATTGGATCTAGATAATAATAGCTACGCCACCTATAAAATCAAGGGCTTTCTTTGTTTTGTTTTATTTGTTCATTAACGTGCTAGGTGAAGTAACCACCGTCGCACTCCTACTGGAGCTTGAGCACGAGTGGGGTCGGGCCGGATCAGGTTAACTACCGTGCAGTGCAAATGCCTCGTCCCACCTAAATGACCGGAACCATGCCAAAACGCATTTATGTGTTGAACCATGACGAATTCAGCAGCCCAGAATTGAAAACAAAACAAAAACTTTCACGCGAATTTCGCATTGCAAAAGAAAAACTTCAACAATCTCCCTTCCATCGTTCTGCCTCGGCCATCACGCGCCCGAGCCTCGATTCCTATCCCTCTTTCCATGCCAAATCACCTAGGCCTTTGATCTATCACCTCCGAGTTCCTGGTGAACCAGTAATGGGGATCCCACCATCAAATCAAAGAAACCCCTAATTAGAATGGAAAAGATAAGTTGTATTTAAATAGTCTGTCCTACATAGTTATAAACTCAAATAGGACATAAATGGATTATTATTATTATTATTATTATTATTATTATCACCTCCGAGTCACAGGTATCCCTGCCATCCCCCGACTAGCCTCCGCGTATATTCCACTCTCCTGGACGTAGTCCCTGAACAGCTGCCATCCACTTGATCCGAGCATCGTTTCCAGAGCTGGTGCCCTACGCTCTCCGCTTTTCAGCCGCCATGTTGCCAGTGCTTCTCGACACTGGACAAGGTGACCAATTGATTTTTCCCTCCCGCACTCACAGTAGAGTTTGGCGTCAGTGTAATTGAAGCGGCGATGATATGCCGCATAGTCCTCATGTCTAGTTCTGGCAGCGATCAAGCGGGCGAAGATCGCTCTAGGTAAATCAAGGGCTTTGTTGGTTAGGCAGTAAAAAGTGTTTCTTTCACCGATTGATTGAAAAGACGCTTGGACCACATCTCATAGAAAGTGGGGTAATGAGGAGAGACAATCTAACCTATTACGAGTTAGCCTAACTGCGCCTGCAGGGCTAATGCTTTAAACAGCCCAGTTTCATGTTTAACGTTTTCAATCCTAGAGGAACTGTAGATTAGTGTGAAGGGACTTCACATTTGTTGTTCACAATTATGGGTCCAAAAATGAATTTATATTTTATCTACGGAGGAGAATATTTACAACGCGCGCGCAAGATGTTTTGTTCCAATCGAGCGCGTTTTCCCGTGACACTAGCGCGCTTTTGTTCATAGACGGAGCCGGATAGTTCCGGATCCACATACAAGGCTACAGCCTGTAACAATTAGCCCCAATTCATTCTGCCACATTAGGTACACAGGCGTGCCATAGAATCATCGAAAATAGAAGTTCTCTTGGCTAATTACCCAAAGACGTAGTCTCGGCGCCTACAAATATTCCAACGTTTGAGAGAGAGGTATGTTTATTGTACTACTCGAGTCAAAGACTATTTAGCACATTTGGCTCCCCTCTGGCCCAGGCAACACCTTGTACGCTGCTCCTTGCCTCTTTTGCTACTTGATAGATGATTGACAGATTGCCAATGATGAATAGCCATTCAGCTCAGAATTTACCCGTAGAATTCAGCCACCTTTTCCACGGAACCTTCTACCCAAAAAAATAAAAATGGTAGCAATGGAAACTGCGTGCGCGGGAAAACGTCTCCAAAAACCTGCAGCCTCAGTCAGACGAGGCCTAGACACAGGAACCACATCAGGTCCGCGTATCCATCTATATCTCTCTTCTTTGTAACATTCGAGGCCGACTTGATCTAATCCACCATCTCCGTATCGGGTGCTGGGTACGCTCCAGAAACTCAGCGGATGGCTTTTCCTCCATGATCAAGGGTTGGTGATAAGAAGGGCTTCGACTCTACCACCTGATCTGATCGTGACTAGCTTCATGATAGTGGTGATAAGGTGTTGTGTTGAGAGATGAAGACGATACAGACGGCGAAAGCGAATGGGAATCACCATGGAAGTGAGGACAAAGATGATTCTCAGTCTCGTCTCAGCAGACTCTGTAGTGAGAGCTGGAGGTTTTTAGGGGACACAACTGAAAGGTGTTGAGAATAGTCCCCCTAAGACTCAAGGCATACTGGGAAGAAGGTCATAATCAAAAGGAAAATTGATGATCGCAAGTAACGTAATAAATTTTAGCTGGAATATTACTTGGTTTTGCCAGCGGTATATAAAAACACTTTAAGTGTAGATGGTGAGACTTTTGTTCTCTGGTGTCAAATCAAGACACCACGTAAAAAGGCGCATTAAATTGAAAAAATTAAACCTTTTCCAGCTGTAAAATGAAGTAGAATAGGAGAGAGACTTAAAAAATTGTACGTAGAGTGTAAATAAAAATTACGATGTTTCCACAGTCGTTGGAGGCCATGTTTTTTGATGATTATGATGTACCTAGATGAATTAATGTTAAGCATATTCTGAGGAGTCTTGAAATAAAATACTTCATCTAGTCTTTTTAGGAGACTATTCTCAACACCTTTCAGTTGTGTCCCCTAAAAACCTCCAGCTCTCACTGCAGAGTCTGCTGAGACGAGACTGAGAATCATCTTTGTCCTCACTTCCATGGTGATTCCCATTCGCTTTCGCCGTCTGTATCGTCTTCATCTCTCAACACAACACCTTATCACCACTATCATGAAGCTAGTCACGATCAGATCAGGTGGTAGAGTCGAAGCCCTTCTTATCACCAACCCTTGATCATGGAGGAAAAGCCATCCGCTGAGTTTCTGGAGCGTACCCAGCACCCGATACGGAGATGGTGGATTAGATCAAGTCGGCCTCGAATGTTACAAAGAAGGGAGATATAGATGAATATGCGCACCTCATGTGATCCCGGTGTCTAGGCCTCGCCTGGCTGGGGCTGCAGGTTTTTTGAGACTTTTTCCCGCGCACGCAGCTTCCATTGCTACCATTTTTATTTTTTTGGGTAGAAGGTTCCGTGGAAAAGGTGGCTGAATTCTACGGGTAAATTCTGAGCTGAATGGCTATTCATCATTGGCAATCTGTCAATCATCTATCAAGTAGCAAAAGAGGCAAGGAGCAGCGTACAAGGTGTTGCCTGGGCCAGAGGGGAGCCAAATGTGCTAAATAGTCTTTGACTCAAGTATTACAATAAAACATCACAATACCTTAGTACCATGTTCGTAATGAACATTGTGGACAGGTGTTTATTCTTTATCCTTTTGTCGGCTAGCTGTTTACATTAGATGTTGAATCGCACGTTTGGAAACTGAGGCGGAATCGTCACTCTGAATGACTAAGCGTCTGCGATCAAGATGCGGGCCGCAATTTTGACTTCCAAGCGTCAGATGTTGCTGATTAACCTTACCGGAGCTTTAAACGTCGCGCCTTCTGCATAGTCTTCTATGCCCATCCCAAGTTTCGTAAGACGCAATCCCATCACACATCCATGACCCATGTTAGCATAGCTACAGGGAATCCCAGAATAGTGCAAGCTGGGCCACCCACTATCCACTGCGATGACTAGGTTTGTGGGATCCTCACGACTATATCGTCATTAACTTGTCCCTCCCAAGATATCGAGAAACGGGTCGAAACAACGAGAGTTGCGAAAACCTTTCATCCTCTAAATTTTCTTTTTTATTCCGTGCGAGTTCATGCTGAATTACAAACGACTTGTTAATCAACTGATCCGGCAGAACAAATATCAATTGATCGTTTGAGGTCTGGATCTCAGACTCAGCGTTACCAATTTCCTCACACGACGCAATGACTTGTGCATGATATCTCTGCCTCCAAACCATATTCGGCTCTCGCTCTGTTTAGCAAACTTGAGTTTTTTTCGTCTCATCTTCCCCTTCTCTCGTAATTTTCTTGCTACATTGTTCGGGCCCGTTGACCCCGTGCCGCGACTCGAGAAAATTGCAAATGAGGTCTTTTCACGTTATTATTTCGGATTTGCATCAGGCAAGACATTGCAAAACCAAACTTTATCGATTATTCACTCATGGGCAACTTTCGTCTGAATAATGTATTGGGCCGATCTTTCATAGGACTATGTTCACCCGCAAAAACTCTGTGATTAGCACTGCTAAATGGATTGAGAATGCGTAAACATTTGTTAGAAGCAGATAATTTTTAGGATTAGTAATCGTGAGGAGATTTCTAGCACAATTCAATTATCAAAATAGACTTGGGCTATGAGGAAACTTTTACTAGGCATATCATGATTCTGCAGACCAGTTAATGGAATTTTTGTGGTCTGTATTTGACTCATCCAGGAAATAGATCTGATTTTAGCGATTATGAACTGCTAAAATAAGCTGTTGATCTTACGTATTGGCAACAGGTGGAGGGCTAATACGTCAAACGATCATCCTAAACCCCATAAATGCCAAGTTGAAAGTGCTTCAGGATCATGAAGGTGATGAGAACTTGTACCAAACGCCTTAAGCGAGCCGCAGGGCTCAAGGACTTTATCCAAACGTTTTCTCACTGCAGTTGTTCCCTCAAAACAATATCAGTTGAATCAATACAGTTAGAAGCCTATATAACATTGCAGGTAGTTTTCATCACTTCAAACTTCATCGCATACTTTTAATCATTTTCTTTCATTCTAAACCAACTGGCTTGGACACTTCCACTCTTTTGGCCGATATTTTGACCACATTTTGTTTTTGGGTATCATCATTCAACTTAAGCTTAACTACTTCGACAGATATCTCTAATATCTAGGATTCTGCCTGGTTGCCGGATTTTCTGTAAAAAAAAGTTATTAGTAACGAATATGTCTTCACTCCAACTAACCGAATCGGGTCATTCGCCAAGAACTTGCCATGGAACATTTGATACGGCCAATCTTGTTGGGCAGAGTACCCAAAAAGTCCGAAAACAAGCTTTGACGGGAGGATCAAGAGCCTGGAGCAGAGATGAGGTTCGTCATTCCATACTGTATCAAGTCTTATCTTTTGACAAGTTATAGGAATTGTATCTACTGAAAACTCGGCATCAAAAAGTACCATATCGACAGATAGCAACTCATTTGAAAAAGACCGAGCTTGCTTGTCGCCTACACTACCATCAATTATCTCACGGGAGCCGACGCAAGAAGATTGGTTCTACCTCTCCATGTAGCACTCCTGGATCCCCTGAAATGACGGAATCAGCGCCATCGCTTGCCTATCAAGGATCAAGCCCAAACTTGAATAGAAGCCTTTATACCACACAAAATCACTATTCAGTCGCTCCCCACATCGTGCAACTACCTTCTGCCTCGACATTAATATCTCGTTCTGATTTCTACACCCCGCCAAGAGTTTATGAACAGCCTAATATCCCGAATTTACCTAGGCTTCCCGATCATGACCGAGTCATGGCTGGCGTTGTCAATACTCAAGTTCTTCGTCTTGACACTGACGTAAATTCAGGCCAGATGGATTTATCTCACGTGAATCTTGAGCGTCTCGGTCAGATTTATGAGAAGCATCGTGGCTCTATCTGGAACACAATTGCTTCGGAATATGGTGTGGATGCCTCACCTTTTGTTCTTGAAGAGGCTTGGAAGCGTGGAAATCAGACAAGCACGCCGCCCACTCCCAGTGTATCACCTGATGAACATGTGATATCATATCAAAAACTTCCCAGTCTTACATCTGAGAGTAAGAGTAACATCTCCTCCCTTCTTGGAATTGTAGGTTTGCAAAATGTCGTAGTTTACGGCCAAAATTTACTAACTCTGTCATAGAATGCCAGCCCACGTAGTTCGCAAGAGAGGGAGATTGTTAGACGGATGGAGGAAAGACTTTAATGACGAAGGCTCACTAAGTCAACTATTAAAAACTTATCGCGTAAATAATCTAGGACTCTAACCAGTTCTGGATCGATTGGGAACTGTTCTTATTTTTTTTCACAGATGGACTAAACTTTGGTATTCAGCAGGTCTATCTTTGTCACTTCCCTTATGGTGTATTTAGATCAGCCGCGGCACGGCTAAAATTTCAATAACATTTCTGATTGGTAATGTAGTAGTCTGGTAGCCCTACCCGGCCGGCAATTTGTGAAGCACGTTTCGGGAATATTAATTTGTGACAGGTTTGGGCCATGCCGGGCTCCCGGACATAAGCGAGAACGCATGCGCACAGACATCCATCACTAGTTCGGCATTTCAGACCTAAGTGCTGCAGGCTCGCATTATTCACGCTAAACTGCGATGTCGTGCATGTGTCTCGGCAAATATTGTCAAATCTAGGCCCATTAGGTCCCAGGTTCTGCTACGTCTCACAACACTCCATGGATACGCTTGTCAGTGGCCGCCAATTTGCCTACTTCTCATCCGATATGCATGACGAATATTCGGGGCAGTCATCGCTCCCTTGCACAGCGAATCGTTTCGTTCTCCATGTCGAGTAGAAGCCAGATGAAAGCTGTTTATAATGTTTGATTTGGTATGTTGGCGTGCATAACACAGCTCGTGATTCAGTCGCGCGATATAGATTCGTAGTGCATGAACAGTGCTTTATTAACCTATTCGATGGCTACTTTTACTCTGGGGAGACACTTTGGATTTCGTTCGCAAGGATGCTATGAGGTATGTTTATTGATACAAAACTGTCCACCCTTCTCCATGAGTATCAACCAAAGGGACGTTTCAAAGCTTTAGTCATCCTGTACAGAGGCACCACTAGAAATATGAAGTGGTAATACTGGACTCGAAAAAACTACTGTCTTAAGTGGGGTAGGTGTCTAAGCTATCCAGAATCTACTCAGGAGACCGGTTAAAATCATATACGACCGCACTATCTAACCATGGTAGTGTTCAAACGGTCGCCTACACTCGCAGTCGAAGGCTTGACGTGCACATAGCTCAATTTGTAAAACACTTGACTGAACTTAATCATATCACCCCATACAAGACTACATCCATTATTCATATCTTCTTCTTGACTTTTCGTGATCTCTCTTGTCGAAATTCTAGAGACATGTTGGAATTATAAACTGAAAGTTAACCATTAAATCAATCCGACATCAATAGTAAGAATTTAGAGATTTTAGGATCAGTGAAGTTTTACTTATTGTACTTAAACGTTAAAGAAAAGATGTAGAATTACTGCCATTTATCTAAGTTTTACCTCGCTTATGTGGAAACGTTCTGTACTGATTGTGTGATGGAATAACGATTCCTCCACTGAGCTCATTACCAACCGAGACTTCGGAGGGCAAGACTGAGCACCTATACGCAGTGCCTTCTACGGACCTAGGAGTGAAATATTCTCCCAGAGCCAAATTCAGTCAAATTTCGCAATATCAAAGAAGTTGGCCCACGAGGCAATGATTCAAATTACTCCTCCACGTCGTTTTTTCGCTCCCAACGAGTTTGACTCCTAAGTCTCATCAAGTCTACAAGTACATCCTCTTTCCAATGATCACATCTTTCTTTGTCCTTCTCTGGCCTCAGTTGACGACTAAATACACGCCCACGCCGATATTTACACCCGAGAGAGGACACAAAGCGTGGCGCACAAATCTGGGAGACAGTTCTTTGGGATGGACGTGAGAGGGATCAGGACAAGTTCATAAGATGATGCAAAGGATGGATACATTCTCGACGGGCGTGAAATTTTGAATTTTGGCAAAGAGTTTATAAAAATTGAGCTATGTGCGTGCCAAGACTTCGCTTGCGAGAGTGCAGCTGACACTATAAAAACAAGCAAACGATGGAAGGTGTTGTGGTACGCCTCCTGGTGTTGTTCTCTGGTATAGTCTGAGTAGCCTGGGTACCTACTCCACTTGGGAAGGAGATACCAAAGACCATATTTCGCGCGGAGAAAAGTTGATGGATGATGGAGGCATGTCTGGATAACTCAGGATTTTTGAGACGTTCCCCTGGGAGAGTATTCACGAATGAGGGTTGACTTGGGGTGAAGAAAAAGCCAGCATAACTTCGCAGTGGTACTTTCAACTAAAAACCTAGGAATGAGTGCTCTTCTTGTAAATTGAGTTATCAAACAGTTCTCTGATATTGTGTCATAGCTAGATAGCTGCATACGCAAATAAAAACTGATGCAAAAAAAAAACAGAGACTTCATCAAAACTGGTGGCAATCGATAGAAGTAACCTTGGTCTACTCCGAGCCGTGAGAAGATTAGTAAAGTATAACCAAATTTCAACATCACTCACGTCTATCCCAAAGATCTGCTTCCCAGATTTGTGCACGATGATTTCTTCTCCTATGACACGCCCAACGAGCACCAAGAATATAAAATGAAATTGGTCAGCTAATTATCACTAGAAAACGAAGATTGAACTCCTATCCGTAGTCTCCTCTACGAACCCGGGAGTAAATTCATTACTCAGAGCCAAGATCCAGTCACGACAATGGGTATTTTCGAATGTTTTCGTCAACATGGCGATCGAAGGAGTGGCGTAGGATAGTTTTTGGTCGAAATTCTAACCAGCTGTAATTCCACGACTGCACAACCCGACGAAGCCAAGTATCTAAAAGCCAAACACGAGCCGCAGATAGGCATAAACTTACCTGATGTTCGTATTGAATCAACTGACATTCCTCGCCATTTCTAATTTTCTTGGAAGATCCTGCCCATCTAAACTCCACTCGCGACCTACCGAAGCAATCTACAATCCTAAATCTTACTCGTAATCTAAGATTCAAGCGGATATTTATTCCACCACAAATGACGCGCGCGCTGTGAAGGTACAGTCAAAGGACCGGATTTATATTTGTCTATACTTGTTGTGGCTAGGCATCCTTGAAGAGGTTTCAAAGAGAAGGTTTCCGAGAAAACTCTGTCAGATAGAGATGAAGGGGCTGGCGTCATGACTACATTTGCCATAGTCTTAGTTGAATTCAAGTACTGTCTCGAGTTAGACTTAAGGAAGCTGGAGCTGCCACATAGTAGCTCTCCAGCTTCTCAATCTTTTGATCTTTGATCTTGCAATCTAGATTTACATAATATTATAATCTTATATTCTCACAATCCGATATTCTCAGTCTTTCATGAATCGTTACATTATTCATGCTTCTGTTCACCCCAAGTTATCAGCCTTGCTCGCTTGCTCGGCAACTTGACTTCGTGTCTTTCGACTATCTTGTAGTTCTCCGACTTTTGACAACCTGGCACCTTACCAGTCGAATTATATCTGAGTATCCTTCGTTAGCAACTATAATCCTAGCAGTTATTACTACCTTACCTTTGGCAGACGGCGATCTCCAGGATCCTTAGCGCACGCCGTAACAATACTTTGGCCACGAGTTCCAGAAACTTGACCTGCGACGAATAGCTCCCGATGGAATACGTATGGTATTTCGCCGATATACTAACTGGAGTATTCGACCAATACCGAACTATCTATGTTTCCATCATGAGATCTTGACCATATTTTCGGTCCCTGCGATTAAGGGTACGGCAGTGACAGGGTAAGACCAAAGGTTTTAAAAGTCTTAAATTTTTTTGGAATGGCGATATTGGCAGTGGAAAGATTGAAAATCCAAAATGGAGGGATAAAATGAAATTAAAATGGAGGAAATCCCGGCAGACGAATAGATGATGCCTCCAGCGGATAGAACGACCCCTGTACGAGAAAGTAAGATGTTGGAGTGGAGGAAATCTGTGACCGAGGGAAAAAAAAAGCACAAAAACGGTGATGTATCAAGGACGTGAGCGCGTCGAGGCTCTCTGTCGACGAGGAAATCTAAAGCTTGAGAAGAGCTTAGCTTTCAATTAGTGTGGGTCACGGGTGTCTTGTGTCTCCGAACTGCTAATATATGCAAGTCTCAAGACTAGATATGATTTTATATCAATGCAGCGAGCCGGCAAAGACGAATTCTTCACCTTCCAGTGGTGCCGGTGTAATCGCTCAGTATGCTCTGCATATCTGGGATAGCCAAGAAGAATCGCAACCGAATCGAAGTCGAAAGCAAACACATGCATATCTCCATTTGACGACTTCTCAACCATGCAGCACTCATCATTATCTTCTGAGTCCTCAACCCCGATCTAACCACATATCATCTCGCCTCGCCGACCGATAAAGGCGTCACCCCAATTGCAAATAGGAGCTTGCCTCACTCATCACCGGCCATTACTCACTACAAATTTACGACGCTACGTATACCCGAAAGGAGGAAATTAAGTCATAATATACAAAGTTGGGGTCTTGGTTTATGGGGGACTGATGCTCTAATGGGGCTTTACATCTTGAGGAAGGACAGGCAGCTGAGAAGTGGAACAAGACGGGAACAGGTCTTTGAAGACCATGCCGGGACTGACATTTTCGAGGAGTTTTCAACTTTGGATTCTGTGTGGGCGCTAAGAATAAGATTTCGGCTAATTAGCCAGGAGGGCTTCTTTTGTCGATGAGTCAACGGCACTCCCCAGGGCCCTGGACGGTACAAAAGAAGTTGGGCTGAGCTACTATATAGCAATCACGCTCTGTCAAGACTTTTCTGACATTTCAGCACGAGCTTCGGGGTGGAGTTGGAAGGAGGCTAGAAAGGCAGAGTGTGAATTCTCCGAGGTACCCACAAGTCTGCAGCGCCCAGCTGGCCGGCCTCTTCGAACGCTTCAGAAGGATCACTATGTCTTTGGATTTAGTCCTAATGTCGGTACCAGGAGAGCTCCGCACCCAGTGGTTTTTGCGATTTTTCCCGGCTGCCATACACCCGCAAATGGCCATCGTTTCGTTGGCTGGAGAGGGGAGATAATGAAGGGCTAAGGGCTCCTATTAGTGTATGATCGAATGAGGACTTGTGAGGGGTGGTACTGTTTGAGGGGAGCTGTATGGGAGGCA